TGATGGTTTATAATGTGGACATGTTTGACAGGAGGCTTTAAAACATTGTCATCTTCAAAACAGCCAATTACCCATTGAACTTCATCTCCATATCCCATCATTTTGACTGGCACTTACTCTGGAGTTATTAGCAATACCTCATTTCACAGAGCCAATAAAATTCTCCACCAGACAGATCCCAGTCTGGGCCAAGGACCAATAGTGTGTCACTGCAAACCAAATCAGACAAAGCAAAAAAATTACTCTGTCATCTTCTGGGTCTAACAACACTGGCTTATTTGTCTCCAGTGGATCATTCGTTCTCTTGCTGTTTTCGAGGACACAAATAATTGACATCATGATGGTGTTCAATCCTATAAAAATTAAACCTATTTAAAAGGAAAAACCCTCCTTTGGTGGGTAAACAACAAGAGAAGGGTCTATTTATAAGGATGATGTCAGCGAGTGTTGGAAATGTGTTTGTGTGTGTGTGTGTGTAGGGGGGCAGTGCAGGGCTATGTGCTGATTAATTTCAGACTGAGTCTGATTCATCACGGCCAGTCACCTGATTGCATTTTGAAAAGGTGAAGCCATTCACTCGAGAAGCCATTCTGGTGCCATTCATGCTAAATCCATCTCTCAAGGACAGTCAAATCAGTTCCTCCGTTGCTCCATGTGCTGGTTAACTACTAGCCCCAGTGTCCCCTGTTCAAAGAATAATATCAGATGATACACATATTGGATGACTGCTACTGAATTTATTCAGTCAGTGTAGATTACATCTAAAAAAGTGAGGCACTGTTGTTTGTTTCTGTGCAAAACCTTACGTATCATTCAGTCCAACTGCTGCATTTGTTTTGCGAGAGAGACATTACATCAATATATCTACTGACAGTAAGATTCCTGGTCAACAAAAAAACACTATTGTGGGGGAAAAAAAGAAACAGAATGCAGAACTTAACTGAAATGACAGTATACATGATTGAATAGCAATGTTCATGAAATGCTGCTTTGGGTGCAGTTCACACAGGACACATTCTTTTATTCTTTTGCTCTAGTTTGTTAATTGTTTTTCTATGTAAATGCAAAAACATGGATGACTTGGTGAAAATTCTTTCATTTACTTACCCTCATGCTGTTCCAAACCTGCTTGATTTTTTTTTAAGTGGAACACAAAGAAAGATATTTTGAAAAATGTCTGTACAATGAAAGTCAATGGGGTCCAATTAAGGTTCTTTAAAATATCACTTTACAATAAGGTCTCATTAGTTAGCATTAGTTACATAGTTAAAATGAAATAACTGAGCAACATTTTTGTTTAATATTAGTTTATAAAAATACAATTGATCATTGCTTGTTTATGTTTGTTCACAGTGCATTAACTAATGTTAACAGTTCTGATTAAAAAAAGTTACTTGTAAATATAGAAATTAACTATGAAAAGCTTTAGAAATATTGTCCATTGTTACAGCAGTTTGTGTAAACTACTTTAGCTATCTAATGTTAACAAACGAAACCTTATTGTAAAGTGTTAGAATTTGTTTGTTTTTTATAGAAGAAATTAAGTCATGAATGTTCGAAATGAGGGTTAATAAATTCTGACAGAATTTTCATTTTTGGGTGAACTATCCCTTTAGGAGATACAGTATATTCACATTCAACATATGACCTTTGGTTTTGAAGAGATCCACAGGTGTTTGTCAAAGAGCCATGAATGACAGCAGTCACCGCTGATGGAAGTAGCATATTCATACTTTTAATTTCTGCGATTACATAAGCGTCAGCTGGTCAAGACATATCGCTACACAGTGACGTCTTCTTGGAATGGAGTCTTTGATCTGTTGGTCAGAAAGTGTAATCAACACCCCACAACATGACCACATATTTTGACCCTCGAGTTTCAGGATTGGACTTGACCCAGTCTTATTGTAAAAAGTTCCAACTGCGACCACTAGAAGCTCTATTGAGCCTGATCTCAATGGTACAGGAAGTTTTCGATCACAACATTGCTTCGGCCTTGTTAATACAACTCGGCAGATTAACAAGGTTGATGGAGCGTCAAAGGAAGACCACATGAGAGCGGAAACACTTCGCTATATACGTAGGGGTAGAAAACAGGTTCGTTGACAAATTTACACGTGGCCACCTCCATTCAAACCCCATCCTGGATGCCGCCATTAAACCTCCGAGTGCAGACCCTGGTGTGAGAAGCTCGCGTTAGGGGATAGAGCCCTATCCTGCAAGGAACACATCGATTAGATCTCTCTCTGGTCTGAGGTATCCGTCTGCACACTCTCAGTCTCACCTTTTAATGCGGCTGATCTGCTCGCACAGGAAGGACAGGTACTGAGTGAGCTTCACCATTGCGATGATGAGCGTGCCCCCCACCAGCGTGCATGTGGGCCAGAGAAGAGAGCTAATGATGGCCCCGCGGCCATAGAGACGTGTCAGGAGGACGCTGTCCTGCTGCGCTGAGGGGTCATAGTAACACAAAACCTGTTGGTGCGTCTTCAGTCGCTCTGAGATGTTCATCACAATGCTCTGCATCAGTGTGTGATCCTTACGGCACTTTGGGATGTAAAAACACTGCAGGGAAAGAAGGAAGAGCACTTACTAGAAAGTATTCAGTTCAGTTAGTGTACTACACTCTATAGTGGTAATTTATCATGTTCAGAAATATACTGTTGTGTCATCTTGGGGACAAATTGTTAATTGGTAATTTTAGATAATTACATAGATAATTAAAATTACATTAACGGATGATTTGTAAGGGTCACTTGTATGTCCACATATAAGCAACGAGACGAGGCAGGATTAATGTCCGAAAGCACCTTATTTTTCATTTATTTATTTATTGTTTTTCTTTAGTAAATCTTTGTATATAAAGATTAAAAAGACCTATGAAACCTAATGAATTTGGCAATGTAATTATAATCTGTCAGGGAAATAAAATTATAAAAAAAACAAAAAACATATATGCGTTTTTAGGTTTTTATTATTTATTTATTGCCAATATATTATTCAAAAATACATTAAATTCATATAAATTAAAATTAATTAAATTCATATAATTACTGGGATACATCTATTCTATGATGAGCATATATTTAGATTTTTTAATTATTAAAATTCATACTATTTTAAAGTTATTTTGATATTTTTGGAAGACATATCAGGGTGATGCAATTGTCTGTTAATTAAATATTATATAAATATTAAATAGTTTGGCATATTTTATTTTCATTATTTATTTACTTATTTTTAAAAATAATGATTGAGATCATTCAAGATATATATATATATATATTTACACTGGGTAGAAATAATTTAATTGAAATCAGATTCCTTAAAATAACAAATGTGTATTTTTCTTTCTTTTACAGCATAGTGTCACAGAAGAACTGCCCATGCATCACTATTCACAGGTAATGTGATATATCTGTATAGTTAATGCATGTGGTTAGGTGTGGTGTACCTCAGTGTGGGCCTCATGGGCCTCCTCGTTGTATGACAGCCGCAGAACTTTGCCAGTGAAATTCAGACTGACATATACCTGAAGGCAGGGAAACCTGGAGCTCTTCCTGCACTCTGAGCCGCAACTGTAGCTACAGTTAATCTCAGCAACTATACTGGAGTTCAGCACTGTGCAGTTTGACTCCTCTGTCCAAACGCTGAGAGGAAACAATGGGCAGAGAATTGGAAAAAAAAGTTAAGAAATAATTTACAATGCCTTAAAATGCATTTATCATACAGTGTGAGTCAAGATGGCTGATTGTGGGTTAACATGCTGCTGAGGAACTTTCTACATTTTCAGGTTACCTTGAATTGATTAGCTGGTTCAGGTGTGTTTGACTAAAGCTGAAATAAACCCGGCAGTGAGGTAGATCTAGAGGAGCAGGACAGAGCACTCCTGACTTAATGTGAAACTTAACCTGTGGAGAAGTGTGACCCGTGAAATTGCTTGCTACTGAGTTCTTCTAAGCGTGTTGTTGAAGGGCATATTGGAGGTAAAGTGAGTATAAAATCAAAGCTGGCAATATTTCCAATGCACATTATTCCAAAGAACAATCTTATTTTATGAAAATAACTTGCTCCATGTCTGAAACAACTTTTCTTTTCCACTGGCATCATCAATTCCTCTCACTATTTATGCCTCTCCCTTCTAGCCTGTCATATAAAGACCAGTTGCTAAGGAATAAAATCAAGTCCTTTTTTCTTTAATATACCATTTTACTTGAAAATGCAACAAATTACAGAAGAAGTAGTGCTGCCCTTGGCTTCATTTTCCACCCTGCTTAAGGTCATTTGAAATGTATGTGTGCAAATGCAGTGACACCAAACTCAGTTATGTGTGGAAATCCTAGTTTGGTATTGGCATCATTATTGAATTTGCCCATTTCAACCCAAAGACTTATTTTCACTTTGATCGGAGGTGAGCTTTACGCTCTTTACAAACTTTACTCTTCAAGCTAGGTTTATTTTTTTTATTATTTCTATAACCATTTTATTGCAGTTTTTTTTTCTTAATTAGAAATGGGTCATTATTGACATAATGGATAAACACCAAAAACCAATATGTCAAGAAACAGAAGGATACAAAAATTGACACAGCTAATTAAAGTCTTAAACATTTTGCTAATATACTTCTAAACATAACAGCCCATTAAAGGCTCCCCATTGCATCAAGTTCTGTAATCAAAGATGCTTTTATTTTTAGCCATCATGACACACTAAGTACAATATTTGTACTTCAGGGTCGCCCTCCATATTCACTAGGGTACATATTGGTGATTTGGCCCTCTCTTGTGGCGGCCGATTACATGTTATTGTTTGTCTTTGTGCCAGGCCTCTTGTCTCCTACACTATGAATAACAGACCTTGTGTTCTTTGGCTATTCCAAAGGCTCA